GCAATTTATACCAATTGCCCTAGACATCCATTCATTGCCCACTCCCTTTCTAGGCAAGATGCTACATATGACTGGGATCCCTCCCTTAGACCTAACTACTTCTATGGCTGACCTGTACTTATCCAGCAGCTCCTCTCTCCTGCCCTTCCCAACGTCATTACCCCCAGCACTAAGACAGATAATGCGCTTGTTCCCATTACCTGCCATAATATTATCCAACCTGCTGACTGTGTCGCCAACACCAGCTCCAGGAAGACACACTCTCTGTCTGACCTTTCTGTCTCTGTTACAAAATGCACGGTCCATATATCTTACCTGAGGATCGCCTACTGTTAAAACATTCTTACCTTGATTAGCAGGGGAATCAGTGGTACCTTCAACCTCGCTAACCACTGAAGTACACTCGTCTTGGAGAACAAAGAATCGATTTCCTACCTTCACATCTTCTCTATAACTCTCCTCATCTTCCTTCTTCCTGAACTGTGAACCACTTGCCACTTAAAGTGGCTGCCACTATCACTGCTGGTGACCATTCCTTCCTTACCAGCTAAATCCTTCTCACACTCACTCCCAAACTCATCTATGTGAAGCTTCAGCTTCCTATTTTCCTCCTGAAGAAGTAGAATCTCCTTCTTCAACACTTGAACCTGGGATTCTAAAACACTACAACAAGCCATGGTATGGGTAACAGCCCATGCTAACTCCCAAGAGCTTGGCAGGTATGACCGCATGTTATGGGGCTATAGGACCCAACATGTATTTATAAGTAACAGTTACTATAGTATAACCACTGACCTCAGCGTATGGTGCAATGGTACCTTATGGTACCATATGGTGTAATGGTACCATATGATGCAATGGTACCATATGGTACATTGTACCATACAGTACAATGATACCATATGGTTCATTGTACCATATGGTACTGTTGTATTCAACTCAATAAACACACTAATATTTTCATTATTATTTTGTTTACAATAGTTGTTTACAACAAAAATATGCAAAAATGTTGTATATTAGTAATGTTCTGTTATATCTTTATAAGTGTACAGGAACTTGACATGTTCCTCAAGGTGGATGACAAAGCACTTTGTCTCGGAAACTGCGGAAACTGCGGAGTCAGTAGCTAGCTTGCGTCGCCACTCACTCAGTCTTGGCTGGTGTCTCATTCCACCAACACCTTTTGACCATATGGTACACGGTATCATATGCTACAGGGTACCATATGGTACATTGTACTATATGGTACAGGGTACCATGCAGTACAGGATAACATATGGTGCAGGGTACCATATGGCACAGGGTACCATATGGTACAGGGTACCATACAGTACAGGGCACTATAAGGTACAGATAAGATAAGATAAGATAAGATTTCGTTCGGATTTTTAACCCCGGAGGGTTAGCCACCCAGGATAACCCAAGAAAGTCAGTGCGTCATCGAGGACTGTCTAACTTATTTCCATTGGGGTCCTTAATCTTGTCCCCCAGGATGCGACCCACACCAGTCGACTAACACCCAGGTACCTATTTGCTGCTAGGTGAACAGGACAACAGGTGTAAGGAAACGTGTCGAAATGTTTCCACCCGCCGGGAATCGAACCCAGGCCCTCCGTGTGTGAAGCGGGAGCTTTAGCCACCAGGCCACCGGGCCTAACTATGGGATAACTATGGAAATAAGTCACCCTGACTTTTTTGGGTTATCCTAGGATTTTATACATATGCTGCTATGTATGATAATCTATGTAATTGTATTTCTGTACACCTGAATAAACTTACTCAAGTGCATGTGGCATTATAAGTAAGTTTATTTAGTTATACACAAATAAAGTTACATAGAATATCATACTTAGCAGCATATGTTTGGAGAACCTTGGATAGCCCAAAAATGTCAGACAGACTTATTTCCATTAGGGTCCCTGTACCCTGTACCATATGGTATAATGTACCATATGGTACAATGTACTATATGGTACATTGTACCATATGGTACCATTGTACCATATGGTACCATTGTACCTTATGATACCATTGTATGCCATGGCACCATTGTACCATATGGTACCATTGTTCCATATGGCACAATGGTATCATATGGTTCAAAACCATAGAATTCCTCTTCAGTTCCACTTCCATCAGTCTTAGAACTGTAAGTTGTGAAGAGGAGAGTCAGAATTCGCCCGGAGAGTGATTGGGGAGTGAGAGCTTCCTTGCCGCCAGGCACGATGAAAAAAGCTACTTTGCCGGCGTTCCCACAATGCCATGCGGGCATCCAGATTTTTTTTATGGTGTGCACACTGACCACCCAGACCCATTCTCTCAGATGTAGGCTTACCAGCCTTCTCGCGCTAAATTTGACGCCGCTAGAATTTTGGCATAGATCTACAGTTTGGACCCTGAACATAAAGCCGTAGATCTACGGGACGGACCCTGAAAGGGTTAAATGATATCTCCCCTCATTCTACGTCTCTCCAGAGAGTGGAGATTCAAGGCTCTAAGTCTGTCTTCATTTGGGAAATTCCTTACACATTAAATCATTTTAGTCATTCTTCTTTGTATGTTGTTCAGTGAGTCTATATCCATCGTGAAGTAAGGAGACCAAAACTGAGTGGTATAATCTAAATGAGGCCTCACTAGTGATGTATAGAGCTGTAAAATAACTTTCGGACTTCTGTTACTTATACTTCTTGAAATAAATCCTAGTAATCTGTTAGCCTTGTTGCGCACACTTAGGCACTGCTGTCTTGGCTTTATATTTCTGCTTGCCATGACTCTCAAGTCTTTTTCACATTCTGTATGATCAAGTTATACTTCACCTAGTTTTTAGATTAGGAGGAGGTGCAGGATTACCAACACTATTTTCCAGAGGGCGGAGGAGGGGTTATTGAGATGGTTTGGATATGTAGTGAGGATGGAACGAAATAGAATGACTTCAAGAGTGTATAAATCTGTAGTGGAGGGAAGACAGGGTAGGGGTCAGCCTAGGAAAGGTTGAAGGGAGGGGGTAAAGGAGGTTTTGTGTGTGAGGGGCTTGGACTTTCAGCAAGCATGCACGAGCTTGTTAGATAGGAGCAAATGGCTTTTAATACATGACATGCTGTTGGAGTGTAAGCAAGGTAACATTTATGAAGGGATTCACAGAAACTGGCAGGTCGGACTTGATTCCTGGAGATGGGAAGTACAGTGCTGGCACTCTGAAGGAGGGGTGTTAATGTTGCAGTTTTATAACTAGTGTAAATGTGCCTCTGGCAAGACAGTGATGGAGTGAATGATGATGATGAGAGTTTTTCTTTTTCGGGCCACCCTACCTTGGTGGGAAACGGACGATGTGTTAATAAAAAAAAAGAGGAAGGAGTTTTAGGAGTCTAGTAATGTAATAGGTAATTATGTTAAAAGATTAAATGTAAAGAGCATGTTAAACATCATGGTATTTGATCACCTATTATCTGAATCCACTTGACATTTGGATTTAGTCATAAATTCCCTGTTTGTAACATTCGCTATTTTATTTGTATATGGAAATTAGAGTTAGTCAGTGGATGGTATTTTAATTTGTTTTACTGTGCTTGAGACTTGTAGGAGATAAATACAAGAGCGGCTGTGGTCTGGCACCTTACGGAGACATGTCTTCTGTCTCCCAGAATTTGTCACTAACGTTATTTCTTCACTAAAATTTTGCAGCTTTGTAACTCTTTAATTCCTTTAAAAAGAATAAAGAATAAAGATTTTATTTCTTTGCATAGGTTGCAATGTGTAATTACAATTTTGGTTTAAGTACAAAGAAATCCACTATCATGTGGGGGGCATTTCAGGCAGACTAATCCTAGTACATAATAACTTAAATCTAGACAAGATAAGAGTAGTTAACTTTTTAATAAATCTTTATTTAATCTTAATACTAATAGGAGGTAGTCAGGGTGGAGGTTTATAAGAATAATAATCTTGAAGTTGCACATAATAACAGTATTATTTCATGGATTGGCAGATGTTTAATAGACTAGAGGTCATATAATATTGGGAGAGTTGCTTCAAACTGATTAGAAGTTTTTTGGTTGGTTTGGTTAGTATTGAGAGATGAGATGATTTTTAAGCATAGTCTTAAATTTATATGTAGTCCGGGGATCCTTTACCGGTTCAGGTAGTGAATTCCAGATCTTTGGGCACTTAACATGCATTGCATTTTTGCAGTGTGGGACTGACACGAGGAATGTCGAAAAGTGTCTTGTGCCTTTTGTTGTGACTGTGTGTTCTGTTGTACCTTTCTCTGTTGTTGTAGCTTTGTAACCCTTGTACTGTACCTATACACCTGCCTCCAATGTCTGCTTTTTCCTGCTTGCCATCCCCTTCCAAGGGGCATGGCCTATATAATATGGGACAATGTCCCTGCTGTTTATTGCAGTTCAGTTTTGTGCAAGACAGGTATACAATACTGACAAGATGAAAGTTAAGACATTTGTGCAACATTTGGTTATCTTTATTGTAGATGTTTCACCATCCATCTGTATTAATAAAGCCACTGGATGGCAAAACGTCTACAATAAAGATAACCAGATGTTGCACAAGTGTCTTAACTTTCAGTTCAGTTTTGATTTGAGGAAAGGAGGGAAGCTCCAATCGCTTCGATGAAGAGCCTTCATCTCAGCAAGAAAGTCTCTTGAAGGGTCAGGAATCTCAGAGGTACTGACCACAGAATTAATGAAAAGCCTTCCTGGTTTACCATTCTTTCAAAATATTGTATATATAAATGATACTACCATATAAAGGAGAGTACAGTAGATAGACACACTTGTTACCTTTATACAGTGTCTTATGTAGCATGCACATGTACTGTTCTGTTCTGTAATTCAGGGCTGAGAAGGCTTAACTTGAACCCTTATTGTATTGCCTCTACATATTTAATACATGTTTGTACTGTATTTCAGAAGTGTTGTTTGATTATTGTTAGACCCAGTTGCTGAATTCAGACACTGATCACTAATTGTTTTTTCTTTCTACAGCATGTAATTTAACAGCACTTCATCAAGAATCACAGACAGATGGGCTACTTCTAGAAGGGGCTCACCAGTGGACTCCCACAATGTTCATCAGACTTGTACAAGACTTTGGCTTAGAATCAGAAGTGGCAAAGCACCTAGCTCACACATACGGAGATAGAGCATTCAGTGTGGCCAAGCTTGCATCTCTCACTGGAAAGCGATGGCCCATTGGTAATTATTTACTAATATAATAATGTATGTGAAAAGTGCTTTCCCATGAATACAAACTATTATATAATATAACCTACTATAATATAACCTACTATAATGTAACCTACTATACAGTGGACTCTCCCTTTTCGTCTTTAATTCGTTCCAGAGAGTCCGACGAAATGTGAAATCTATTAAACTGAAACCATTTTCCCCATAAGAAATAATGTAAATCCAATTAATCTGTTTCAGACATCCAAAAGTATAAACAAAAAATACATTTTATAGAGAAGAACTATATTCTACGGCTTATTTATCTATCATAATTCATCTAATATGACTTAAACAATATCAGTAATATAGAAACATGATATATACTCTAGAATGAATACAATATGTCATTACGTATGTGAGGAGTAAGTGGTGATGATGTTGGGTTTATAAGGGCCACTGAGAGAACCTGTACATACTAGTGGTAGTGGAGGGAGCATTAGAGGCTGCCAACACTATTCATAAGAATATAAGAATATAAGAGAGAAGGAACACTGCAGCAGGTCTACTGGCCCATGCGGGGCAGGCCCATGTCAACCCCCGGCTTAGACCAATGGCCCACCCAGTCAGGTCACTTCCACTTAAGGAAGGAGCACGGCATTTGACCCAGTAGCACCAGCTAGTCAGGTCCAACTCACACCCACCCACACCCACTCATGTATTTATCTAACCTATTTTTAAAACTACACAACGTGTAGTACTCAGGAGTTTGTTCCACTCATCCACAACTCTGTTATCAAACCAGTGCTTTCCTATATACTTCCTGAATCTGAATTTTTCCAGCTTAAAACCATTGCTGTGAGTCCTGTCTAGGCTAGATATTTTTAGCATGCTATTTACATCCCCTTTATTCATTCCTGTTTTCCATTTATGCACCTCAATCATATATCCCCTAATTCTATGCATTTCTAGAGAGTGTAGATTCAGGGACCTCAGTTCTATCCTCATAGGGAAAATTTCTGATACATGGGATCATCTTTGTCATCCTCCTCTGTATATTTTCCAGTGCATTTGTATCCATTCTGTAATATGGTGACCAGAACTGTGCAGCATAATCTAAATGAGGCCTAACCAAGGATATATTTTTATTTTATTTTTTTTTTTATTTATTTTTTTTTATTTTATTTATTTTATGTCTTTGCAAACAGTACATTAAGATTTTGTATTTACAATAGTGGGTTGCAATGCAAAGAGAGCCTCTGTTATGCCTAGGCATTATGGACCAACTTAACATTATTGGCTTACAGTCTGCTTAACACTAAGGAGTATATCATAGTTGTACAGTAGGATAGTAATTATTTCTTAGTTGTACAGTAGAATATTAATTATAAATGAATCAAAATTTGTATAATACAAAGATATATTTTTATTCGAAAATTCTTTTTGTGAAAACAATGATTCAATTATATTACTGTCAACAATGGATAAAAGGTTCAATGTGATTGTTTCAGTTATGATGTGGGAGTACATAGGTGAGTAAATGTATACTGTGTATTTAGCATTTAGTCTAGGGTGATTAAGTGGCTTTTGAGAAGAATCTTAAATTGATTTTCAGACTGGGTTACTTTAATATCTTCTGGTAATGAATTCCATATTTTGGGGCCCTTTATGTGCATAGAGTTTTTACACAGTGTGATATGGACATGATGTGATGTGGTCATGTGTCCTGTTTAGGTTGGTGAGGAGAAGTTTGAGTGGGGGGTTTATATTTGTGTGTATTGTTCTGTGTATGTAGTAGGCACATGAATAAGTATGGATGTTCTTAGTGGTGAGCAGATTCAGACTTTTGAAAATTGGTGGAGTATGCTGGTGGGAGTGAGAATGTGTTATCATTCTTACTGCTGCCTTTTGCTGGGCTATTAGGGGTTTTATGTGACTGGATGTTGTTGATCTCCATGCACAAATTCCATATGTAAGATAAGGGTATATGAGTGAATGGTACAGTGCCAGGAGAGCTGATTGTGGAACGTAGTACCTTATCTTTGATAGTATGCCTACAGTCTTGGAGATTTTCTTGGTGATTTGTTGTATGTGTGTCCAGAACTTAAGGCTACTGTAAAGGTGGATACCTAGGAATTTTCCCTCTGTGAGTCTTGTGACTGATGATCCATTTAGCATCATGTTAATTGGATCATTTGCAGCTTTGTTTCCAAACTGAATGAAATAGGTTTTATCTGTGTTCAGGGTAAGTTTGTTAGTCATCATCCAGGCAGATATTTTCTGTAATTCAGCAATGACTGTGTTTGCTAGTATGACTGTGTATGGGTAGGAAAAGACATATGTAGTGTCATCTGCAAATAATATGGGTTTGAGTAGCTGTGATGCATTCGGTAGATCATTGATGTAGATGAGAAAGAGGAGTGGTCCAAGGACGCTTCTTTGTGGGACTCCTACTGTGATTGGTTGGGTGGAAGAGTTTGCATCATTTGCATACACATATTGAGTTCTGTTATTAAAGTATGACTTTAGGTAGTTGAGGGAGTGGCCTCTGATACCATGGTGCATTAATTTGGAGTACAGCAGTTCATGGCCAACTGTATCGAAAGCTTTACGTAAATCAATGAAAATGCCCAGCGGGACTTCTTTCTTTTCAAGTGTGGTATATATTAGTTCTAGCATGTGTATGATAGCATGATTTGTGCTTTTATTATTCCTGAATCCAAACTGACAAGGGTTTAATATGTTGTGTGAAACGAGGTAGGAATAGATCTGTCTATGAATTAATTTTTCAAAGATTTTAGAGTGCAGTGGTAAGTTAGATATTGATCTATAGTTATTCAAGTCAGCTTGGTCACCGCCTTTATGGATCAGAGTGACCCTCGCTATTTTGAGGATTGTTGGGAAGGTAAATGATTCGATGGATTTGTTAAAGAGCGTTGCAATAATTGGTGACAATAATTGAGAAGCTGTTTTGTACATAAAAGCAGGCAAGTTGTTTATGTCTCCTGCCATGTTTTTAAGGGTGTTTATGATGAGCGTAACTTCATTGGGGTTGGTTGGAGCTAGGAATAGCATATTTGGGTAGGTACCTATGAGGTAGTCTGATGGATGGGTGTTTGTGCTTGGTATTTTGTTTGCTAGATTTTTTCCTGTGGTGGAGAAGAAAACATTATGTCTGTTTGCTGTTTCGGTTGGAGTGAGTAGGGGTTCATCTGATTTTGTTAGCTTGATTGTTTTGTTTTTGGATAACTTTTTAGTTCCAAGAATTTCAGATAGAGTTTTCCAGGTTTTTTTCATATCACCTTTGATGTTATGTAATCTATTTTCATAATACAATTTTTTTGACCTTCTTATCAGGCTGGTAAGTGCTGACGAGTAACTTTTCGACTGATCTCTAGTTATTTGACCCAATCTATACTGTTTTTCATATTTGTGCTTTGTGTTAATGGATTTGAGGATGCTTGGTATTAGCCAGGGAGTTTTCAGTCTCTTTGCTGTGATCTGTTAGTTTTTCTGGGGCAATGTCTGTTATAGAGGCATTGGGCTTTTTTTAAGAAAATTATTTATACATTCATTCATATCTGTGTATGTTTCGAGCTCATTTTGCCAATTGATGTTATTCATAGCTGCTATAAAGTTGTTAACTGCTGTCTCGTTATGTAGTCTGAAGGTTACTTTAGTAATGTCTTGTGGTAGTTTGCCCAGATTAGTTATGAGAAAGGTTGGGTAGTGGTCTGTAGTGTTGTCTGTGATTATGCCTGATTTTAAAGGGGATATGGTGTTTGTCCAGATGTGGTCTATTAAGGAGATGCTTGTCTCGGAGATTCTTGTGGGTTTAGATATTGCTGGTAGCAACAGGCAGTTACTCATTGTGTTTGTGAATTTGGTTACCTGTGGGTCCTGGTCATGTAGTATGTTTATGTTGAAATCTCCTGTTAGTAGTAGGTGGTCTTTATTCATGTGTGCAACAGTAATCATGTTTCCTAGTTTTTCACTAAAGTGATAAATGTTTGACTGTGGTACTCTGTAGATGTTTATAACTGTGAGGGAGTTTTTGCAGGTCTTTTGATTTAAATTTGGCTATGATATATTCTCCATGTTCGTCCCTTGTGCAAGATTTATTGATACATTAGAGTTGATTTGAGTAGTATATAGCTGTTCCTTCCCCTTGCTGGTCTGTTCTACAGTTGTGTATGGCCATGTAGCCAGGAATGGTATAGACATCTGTAATATCAGACTTAAGCCAGGTTTCTGTGAGTGTGATGATTGATATATTGGAATGAAGGGAATTGAGTAATGCTGTGAGGTAGGATCTGGATCTGGATCTGGATCTGGATCATGAGGTCATCATAATGTTTGCTCAAGGATCTGACATTGTAGTTAAAGATGGTTATATTATTGTTTGCACTGAGTAATGTCTTTGCTTGGTCTGCTGTGTAGTAATTACAGTTACTGGTTGATTTGTGTAATTCATTTTGTATAAACCTTGGTAATAAATACCGACAAGTTGGTTTAGAAAGACACGTAAGCAAACACTATACATTTTATTAGAAACGTTTATCTGGGACTTGAGCACTTTCTAGCATCAGAGGTAGAAAGACATTATATATATAGGCGGAGAGTGAGATGTGACGCACGTGATGAGGAATGTCATAAGAAAAAAGAATGGAGGAACATGTAGAAGGCTATGGCCATGCGAGGCAGGTCCTTATAAAACAACTTGGTCTATGATGAGGACAGTTGACGATGAAATCATGTGAATCTGTGTTGTTGGTGGTGTGCTAAGTATCATGTATGCCAATGTTTTTGAAATTTTAGTTCCCGTGTTGCGTTCTATAGTGTCGGTGACGGTGATTAGTGAGGCTTCTAGGCACCGTCGGCGTCTGAGGTTGTTCGGTGAGAACGAGTGTGCTCGTGTCCTCCACAGAGAAATAAGGGCATTTGATGAATGGAACGAGGCACAATCGTTTCACCGAACGATCAGACGCCGCGGTGCCTGAAGCTACTAATCACCGTCACGACACTATAGA